AATGAACCCTGCTGCGTTGTGTGAATCCCATTTGCAGCAAGCTCTGTTTTTGTCACTCGCACAGACAAACACACCTGGTCCACTGTAAGCATGGATGTGATACCTGTGAGAATGTGTCACCCAGCACTGTTCCCACTGCAGTAGCCCGTGCAGTAAAAGGATCCATCAATTGAATTTTATATGTTTAAACGGTGGCAGGATTCATGTTTGAACATCTCTGCTGATGCAGGTATAAACATTTTGTTAGTGTTAAAGAACAGAGAAAATTTTTTTTTGTAAATGCTGAAAAATGACATTTGTGTGTGAGCACATGCTTGCATGTGTGTGTGTGTAGGGGGGGTCTGCGTGTGTGTGTGTGTGTGTGTGTGTGTGTAAGTGAAGAAGGGGGTGATATAGGACAGGTGCTTTAAGAGAACCCCTTTGACTCTTTGTCTCTTCACTAATTAGGTTTAGGGTTTGTATGTGCACATACGTGTGTTGGTTTGTGCAGCAGTGTATACTCATGCAATCATGAGAAAGCATTGCCTTTTTCAACCTTACAGAAAAAGGCAAAAATATGTTTTTTAAGTAAAAGAAAACATGCGTTTATAACTTTTTTGTTTAAAACATCTGTAAGGCTGTTCATCTTCGAAGGTCAGAAAAGAAAATGGCAAGTTATATTACATCAAAAAATATTTTTTTTAATTTACCATACTCCGTTTTGCACCAAATGTACATACTGTTATTTTTAAGAAGTCATGTATTGAAAATAAAATGTCCCCTTAATAAATGAAATCTAATATAAAACATCTTAAAAGCATAACCTAAGCAACTACGGGCACTGAGAGAGGACAAGTCAGTCATCCTTAAACTGTTCAATATGAACAATCTGGATAGAGCAGATATGAATATAGATGCAACAAATAATGTTTTGAGGCTGATTTCCATTTTCCAACACTTTTTAACGTGCAAATAATTTTTTATATTTTTGTTAAACCTAATTTTTATTTGACCAATAATAGGGAAAACAAGGACACCATTTCCATAAGAAATAACGGAGTATTTACATCAAGATCATAAGGAACATCATACCACTGTTTGGTTAAGCAGTAACTGTAAAACAGTGTTTAACTATTATTTTTAAAACAAAAGCAGACAGAACATTTTAAAGTCACTTTAGCATTATTTGCTTTTACTTTTGCAGTTATAAACATTAAAGTGACTAGCATTGCTGTGAATTGGTTCCAAATAATGTGTTTTTTATGTTAACTCTAGTTTTCACCAAATGTTTTTACCTTTCTGAATCCACAAAGTTCAAGGACAGACAGACAGAGCTTAAAAGAATGAAGCCGCACCTTTAACATATGTTGCAACCTTGCTGCTGTCTGCTGAAACTCTTGATCTATCCTAAAGTCTGCCTCACAGACAAAATTCAAGTTGAAGGTTTTTTGAATTCCCAAAGAACATTTATTTTTGAGTCCCCTGATTTCATTCAAACTTCATGCATATTGCTGTTCCTGTAAAGATGTAACTGTAATTCTACTTTCAATAACAGCAACCACACCAAAGGGCACTTTTATAGGAGCCACCTGGTAGAGCTCAGTGTGGTGCATCCATGATTAACATTCAAGACAGAGCTGAAAGTGATATCCACTTTCTGCACTTTTGGGTGCATGACGTACAATAATTACTACTTAAGGAAAGGTTTGGTTTGAGAGTTCTAACTCTGTTGTTGTAGCGTTGTTACGTGTTTAAACCATGATGGTTTTCTCTTAGCTTGTACAAATAGTCTTACATTCACCAGCTGGGGCTTTGTCTACAGCCTGAGTGGGAGTTCTTGGCTTAGAAAAAAGAAGACAGATAAATTATTTAAAGATTATTCTGGTATTCTGGTGTGATTTTCTTTTTTTATTCCTCAATTGTTTTTGTAGCATTAAAGCTACTTTTAAGATTATTTACCTAATCCGATAGTTTTGTTTGGGTTTGTTTCAATTTCCTTGGCTTTTCTCGAGAAAAAAGAAATAAATTCATAAAAATTCCTTTTTAGTTTTATACGGAATATGTCAGTGTTTAATGAAAACCTGCATTATTTGTTATAATTTAATGTGAACTTAAAAAAGTCAAGAGTTTCTGCCACTCTAAATCCTGACAAATTCAGAGGGAGTTTAAGGGATCAGAAAACTCATTCAAAAGAATTACACTTTAGTTCCTATTTTAAAGAAGATATTGTTTTAAGGCTAAGTATATCCTGTAAATTTACCCAAACTCGAGCATGCTGAATCAGGCCCACCACCCACTAACTGTTTTGCACCTGCTGGCCACCTTCACCAACAATAGTGAAGCAGAGCTAAGGATAAACACAAACACAGGCCCAAACAAAATGCACATGGTGGCCACACTCCTCAGATTAACCTTTATTCCTACTGATGACACCCATTGTCTTTACCTGGAGCTCTCAGGGCACAACACAGCCTTGCTCTACTGTGGTTTGGTCAATCTGCACTACCCTGAAACCAAAACAGAGGCCAAAAGTGTTTCCAAGCTCCTGCAGGACACAACAAGGTGTGTGGTAAAGATGAATACCATCTAGGAAAAAAAATGCAAAAAAGAAAAAAAACATGTTACAGAACAGCTGCTAGAGTATTTTAAGCTGAATTACTTATGTTTTATTTTAGCTTTCACAAAACTGTGAGGATGCTTTCATAGTTTTTGCTTGGTTTTAACACATTTCTTATAAATTAAATGTGTGAATATGCTTTTATTTAGTGGTTCTTGCAATCAAACATGATCATTTATTCTGATCACTCATACAGACTGCTCTTGAAACCCTAAACTTGGCCTTCTTCATTTCTGTTAACTGTCACTTTGTGATTACATTATGAATTCACTCATAAACTCTATGATCTACCTGAGTGCCAAGCACCTGCTTTAATGTCCCCATTAAAACAGTGTAATGAAACAAGGTTGGAAGAGTCAAAGTACACATTAAGGATAAATATGCATTTACTTAATTGACCTGGAACAAGCAGAAACACCAAGATGTAGCAGTAAACTTTTCAACCTTTTTTTTACTTTGTTTCAAACATCTCTGTATAAAGTTTTGCATATCTGTGAAGTACTGCAAATATTATAAATAGCTTTTTAAATTTGAATAAACAAATACTTATTGTATCATAAATCTGCAGCGTGCATTTGTATCCCATCCCTTTATTCAAGTCTACTTTTGAGATAAAATACCTTTAACCAACTTTGAAGACATGAAAATAGTATAAAACAGCTGCGGATCTACAGATCTAAAAAACAATTCCATGCAACGGCTCTGTCTTGCAAAATACTTTTCACATTACCTTTAACATCATCCCCACAGTGAAACATGGTGGTGGAAGCATCAGGCACAGGGAAGCCGGTCAGAGTCAATAGGAAACTGATGAAGATAAACACAGGGTGTCACTTTTCCTGTGAATGAAGAGGCTCAGTGTGCTGCTCTGTGTTGGTCTATCTATATCAAATCAAAATGTATTTAGGTTTGTTGTTGTAGAAAAACAGAAGAGCATCCAAATAAGATCTGGGACAATATGGAAGGACATTCTGATCCACCTTTAGGTGATTTTTTGGCAGATTAACGGTACAGTATAGTGGAGTATTTTCGCGATTTTTTTTTTAAATAAAAAATGCACATGCACAACCCTGTACCCGCTCCCATCGAGGGAACGCCTATTAAACGCATGTGAGAGCGTGCACAAGCCCATTTCTCCTCATGCACACTCTTTTTAAAAGTTGCTGTTCTCATCGCTCATACAAGCTTACTTTCCAAAAAAAGATTTGCAATTTTTTCCACTGTCAGATTCTCCAACGTTAAGTGAAAATGGGGACGAGCACGTAGGACTGCCTTATGGAAACATATAATACCAGAATGAATGGCAATTAAGAGGACCACTTATTTTGATGATCCACCCAGAAAAAGATCATCCTCCACTATACCTTTAAATTTACTAATCTACATAGAAAATAAGTTGTAAGAAAAGCTGCTCTATGTTGACGGTTGTGTAGTTAAGAAACTAAACTCAATCCCTCCCTTTGCTATTGTGAATGATAGACATTTCGACTAGCTTCATTTTTACAATTTATATTCCAAATAAAACATTAAGAAGCTGTTGAATATTTGAGTACCCCTGAGTGTTTGTTTTACTTTGCTATTGTCTCCTCACAATCTTGTAATCATGGAGACAGAAAGAGACAGCAGTAAGAAGGCAGAGGTGAGGAGGAGATCAGGTTTCTCAGCCGCTCTGTACCCTAATCCTGGATTTGGAGATGGGATGAGAAGAACATAGGTAAGTACAAAAAACAAGCAATTACAGCACCGCCATGGAATTGAAAGAGGGGGGCGAGCTCAACAGGAAATGGGGGATCTCATAGGTTGTGAGAGAGGTTGCTTACATGTAGGTGGGATATAAATACCTGTAGTAGACTAGGGCAGAGAAATGCTGAGAGCATGACAGATGCTGACTTCCACTGATCGCTGAAGGTTGAAACAGACAGCAGGGCTGCTTAGTGGAGGCCCTATTAGCTGAGAATCCCATTTCAAAAGATAGAATAGTGATTTGAAATCGAACATGAACCACTTTGGTTTTCATTTAGTTTGAGGGTAGGGTGGTGTCTAAAACTTTGAAGACTTCTGGAGGAGGAGGGAAAAAAAGTAATGCATCTCAGTTTCCTATCCTGATATTCCCAATTGCCTGAAGGGAGATACATGTCTGACTGAGCCAGAGATAAAAGGACAAGAGAAGAAGACAATACTCAAAGGTGTAAGAGAACAATCGCAGCCCAAAACACGACGGCAGAACAAGACAAGGCCGAAGAAGACAAGACAAAATCACAAGAAAGAAAACAAGAAGACATATTTTAGGGATGCTAAACAATGGAAGACGAGACCAAATAAAGTGAGCTATTGTGCTTTGAAGAAAATAATTCGTTTGAACGTCAAACCTCCAACTGAGATTGTTCAAGAAAGCCAAAGAAAGATGGCATGTCAGGCATTTGGTACTGATTCCTTCACCCAACTGGCAGGAGATTCACCTTTACCAATCCTTATGCACCATGGCTCCACCAGTGACTGCTTGCCAACCACTTCCCATGCTTACAGTATGGTTTCTGCAGGTAAATCACCTTAAAATGTTCTTCCTACTTGTTAAGTATTTTCTTTGAGATAGTATGTTGTAGGGGTTACATCTAAATATGTCCTGCTCTATTGATAACTTTAGTTTTTAAAGATTGTATTTATGCATTTTTATTAAAAAGCTTGCCAGCAAAGCTTAGGAATATTAATAACCATAAATTGTGTTGCTAATATTCTAAATCCCATCTGTTTCAACACCATCAGCATACCTAGAATAAATAGAAACTATTCATGACTGTGTTTACAGGCCGTATAGGGCTATAAGAGGGTCTATTAAATGTAACTGAACCACCCATAATCCTTTAATGGCTTTTAAATAACATAATAATCAGCAAAGTCTACACTTTAGAGAAAGTTCATTGAATTTTCGTGTCAACATCATGTGATTCTATTTATAGATATATTTTGACCCTCAGAATACAAATAAATGTTCGACTCCAATCAGAATAAATAGTGGCATTAATCTTTTGTTTAGATTTCACATCCTGGAACCATAAAAAAAAATCATTGTACTCAATAAAACCTGTGGCTTTTCCAATGGTGAGAAAAAAAAAAAGAATAAGATTCAATCTGCAGTTTTTTGAGCTGAGAACAAACTTTGTACTTTTAAGAGATCACAGAAATAGATTTATCAGAAATGATGCACCTGGCCTTATAGGGCAATTCTTGCACCAATACTAAAAAATACAAAAAATAGTTGTGTATGATTTTCATTATAACACTGTTGTGTTATAATAAAAATATATCCACCCAGAATTTAGTCCATCTGTCAAAGGAGCAAAATTAACCCAGTTATTTAATGACTATCTAGATACAAATCTAAAATGTCTGTATACTTAAATGCACTGCTTTTCTTATTGTAATTAAATGTAACAATATTGTTATTGGAATAAATGTGACACCAAACAGAAACCCATCTTCCTCTTATAGTCACCGCTTTCTGAAAGAATGAGGAAAGCTTAAATACAATTTGCATTAAGAAAAATACAAATTCAATGAAAATTACATCACTTTTTGACAAGATGGAGCATTATGAAAAAAATGATTCTAGTGCCTATTCATTGTTAGTCTCTACTGTAGATGGTATTTGATGATAGAAGTCTATGTTAATGCAACAGTTTGTGTGATACCCACCATTAAAAGAAATCCTTATATATATTCTGTAGCCAGACAAATAGTATATTTAGACATATGATATGCATGATAAACACCTTAATTTTACACCAGAAGGTCATAAAGCCATAAAACAACACATTCAATCAATCATTCAATCAATCATTCATTTTTTATTGGTCAAAAAGATTGCCTCTGTGTTCATCTAACAATGGCACTAAGCATTCATTAGTGCCTGGAGTAAGCTCAAAACTGCCTGAAGATGAACCATGAATAATTATGCAATTAGCAGTGATAGGATCATTCACAGCGACATGTAAATCAGTGCTTCTGAGAAAAGCTGTCATCAAAGTGTGTGTCTTGCTTTGTCCCTTTGTTTTGTTCCTCCCGGCATCATCATGGTTTGTGTCTTCAGTCAATACAACCATTTAGAAATCCTTCTAAAGCCTATAACCTTATAAAAATGATAAAGGTGGACAAATGTATACTCAACAATTATTTCTTCAATTCTAGCATGATAACTGCATAGGACTGGTGCTCAATATAAATAGTAACACTTTAAATTTGAAATTGATTTACTTTATATAAGAAATTCAGTTTTTTGAAGTCAGATTTCTTTAAAGTATTGTATCCTCTTGAGTAGCTCATATGTTTACTATAAAGTGTATCAGATCTTTTGTCAAGCTAACATGATTAAAAACTACTTGGAAATCCTCAGAGGACAGACACAATGCTTCTGTTTCTAGAACTGGTTTGACTTTGTTCCAAATTACAAAATGTTTTTCTCCGTTGTTGGTTTTCTCCAACAGTATCATCAGGACTGTCCCTGGGTCAGACCTCAAAGAGGTCCCACATGCACCTGTCCACTTCCTCTCTTGGAAACGCCCTCAGCAATGCTCCTCAAAGTTTGCATTATCCAGTCACCCCCTGCCATTACAGCAACCAGCAAGCCACTTATGGCATGATGACAGGTGAGAGATGTTGGGGTTGTTGTGTATAAATGGGTCCTTCATTAGTGAAATTAATGAGGATGTGGTAGTATTGTGGTTGGGGCATTGCGCTTTAAATCCAGAGGTTGTGAGTTCAATCCCCACTCCCACACATTGCGACACCTTTAACCCCACACTGCTCCCTTGGTGCCTCACAGTGGCAGCCCACTGGTCCTCAAGGGGATGAGTTAAATGCAGAGAGTTAATTTCATTGCTTTGTCCTTGTGACAGTGTAATCACAATAAAATGTGAAAAAAAAAATCATCAACAAAAGGAATAATTCTTATAACTAAAGAAGATTCACGGTTATTTCTGTACAGAATAAATCTAATGCCGTTATTTGAAATGGTAGATATGCTGCATAACTTCTCATTAACAGAGTTCTATGTATGAAATGAATTAATAACTTAAATGAGTGTTTGAGTGGGAAGCGATAGTTCTGACTGTATATTAAATCAATATAGCATGGTGCAGCCCTGCACATTTAATTGTCTACCAAAATATAATTCCACCAAATACAACTAATAACCCATGACACAGAAAAAAAATTATTTGAGTACATTTATTTATTGCAGATAAACAAATCTTAACTAAACTATTGTGTATTTTTTCAAAATAGCAGATGCCATAATTGTGGCATATTTATCTAAAGCTAAATATACATGTAACAAAAACTTTTTAAACTCACAATTTACTTTTTTGAAGTTGATCCTAGTCAGTATTGGCATAAATATCAAATAATCCAGGACCTTCTTCCTCTCTGATAAAGATCTGATATGATAGTATGGTAGATTTTTTTTAAATAATTTTAATATCAACATATTTCTATTCAACTCTTTCCGCTGCAAAAAAAATTTATCCCAGTAAGTCATTTTTTTCTTAAAATAAGTGAATTTTTTCTTGAATTAAGGAGGAAAGTGAGACATGGAACAAGACAATTTACATTTAAAATCAGAAAAAACAATTATATTGTCTTATTTCAAGTGCGTATTATCTAATTATCTTATTTTAAGAGTAAAAATACTCATTCAATTGGCAAATAATCATATTTACCTTCTAAAATTAAGGGTAAATACACTTAATTTAAGATATTTTAACCTATTTTTAGATCATTTTTGCAATGTGTGCTTTTTTCAACAAGAGTGAATCTTAACAATCTCCTGTTTACAAAATAAAACAATAGAGTCACATTTCCACATTTTAAAGACTTTAACTGTGAGTTTTACTTCTTTAAATCATTAGATGTCAAATCAAGAATGAAACCCCCCCATGGTGGGTACAAATTGATGTGTGGTCGGTGTAAAATGTTCCAGGTCAGATAGTCTGGTCATCTGGTAGCAATGAGGAGGATGGTAACATTGAAGATCTCCAAAGAACACTTTTAGAAAACTCCAGCTATATTTTCAGTGTGAAATTGTACTATTGCAGTACAATCTGATTTTATTCAATGCTTTTGACGCCAATTGTTGTGAAAACTGCAGTATGGTGAGAGCAACAAAGGTACTGATGAGGATTATAAAGCATATTCCTACACTGATTTAGCCCATAATGATGTCGCATTGGGATTAAAAGGAAACTCTTATCTTTCTCCCTTTTCTTTGAAGCCCAAGAGATGCTTTCTGCCAGTATATCTCAGACTCGCATCCTGCAGACCTGTGGCGTCCCTCACCCCAACATGGTGAGTGGTGCAAACCCATTACAAGGTAAAGAACCCATCCACACGCTGCACAGACTCACACACTCAGCCTTTCCCTCAGCTGCAAGTTAATTCCACCAAATCAAGCGGGAAATGTGCTTACTTTGTGATTAGTTTCAATTTTGCTGCCAGGTAAAATTAATTCAAGGGTTTATCCGTTTTTTTGTACAATATGGTGCTACAGCTGTAACAAACTGTCAAATGATTTGCTAATTCCTCTTAATCCCGTTAGGAGCTGAGGTATAAATCTTTCAGCTGGAGCACAGGATACAATGCAGGCTTTAACCCTTTCATTCCCCAGAAACCATGTTTCATTCAACCTTCTAAAGTAATAGATGGATTTTAAAATGCTTCCTATGATTCGTATATTTTTGGAAAGTAAGGCCTGATGTGCAGACGCTACTATTTGTTGCAGTTCATTAAGTTTTCCTTTACATGAATTCCCTGAATGTAGATTTTGAAGAATGACAAAGAGAAATTAGCATTTGTGTCTTGCTATATTCACATGTCAAAGAAACTTGAGATTTATTGATAGGATCTCAGAGACAATATGATTAAGATAAAAAGTAAACTTTATGTTACAGAAAGTGTTTTGAGATTTTCTTTTCTTAGAATGGGGTAGCAAAACCTTCACATTTTATGACTGGGGTCAAATGTTTTTGATATCCTACTGAAAACTTCTTATTATAAGTTGTTTCATTGCTGGTGTAAATGACTCAGATTTGTAGACTGGTCCACGTTTGATGGAGGACTGAAAAAGCACTTGTAATGATCCCTCCTAATACTTTGGATTTAATATTTTTAAGCTACTTTCTAATTACTTTGCCTTTTTTCTTTGGGTCCTTGTCCATTTTGAATACCTATTTCTGCCTAAACCTTTTAAAGTGGAGTTATAAGATGTTTAAATTCACCCTTTTCTTCCAAATGTTACAGATGGTCACTGTGGAAAATGCACTTCCATTTAAATTTCAACACATCACAGAGAATTTCTCCAGAAAATATTTGGTCCTTATAGGTTTTAAACCTGTCATCTGGCATGTCATGTTGCTTTGGGATAATGGCTTCCTGTCAGTGCAGGATTCATGGATAATGATACTCCCCTAACAGCTTCAGCCAGCTTGGACACAGGTTCTTTAAGTTTTGCTTTTAGGCTAATAAGATCATTTCACCACAAAAAAATAAATACATTTTTTTAGGACAGAGAGCCCATTTAAATCGTGAAACATTACTTATCATAACTAGACCATCCAATTCTTGCAATACTGGTATTATTGATTGAATAGATGAAAAAGACATTGCCAGCATTTAGAAAATTGACTGATTTGACATAAAATCATGATCTGTGTTTTCACAAACATTTCAAAAGCATTGAAATCACTGGAAACCTTCTAAAAAATATCATAAGAATCTCTTTGTACACATTTTATTCAGACTATTTCTAATATAAACAAAGTATATTTAATATGATATAAGGTCACTGATGTTTGTAGCTTCTGTTCAGGATATCTCTTTTTCAATAGTTTATATATTTATGTATATATATATTTTTTTCACCGCTAATGTTTGTATTCTTTTAATGCATTAACCAACTAACAATGTAATTCTCAGTTTTTAACTGTAATTATTCTCTGATAAAACATAACATTTTTCCAAAGCTTTCAGAGGCAGAAAATATCCTTTTAATAGAAGGTGAATTTATTTATTTTTATTTTTTGCACATCTTTTAAAGGGGTACTATAGTAAATGTAATATGTTCCTAATTTTCTTCACAATATTGACATTTTTACAATTTATAATACAATAGTACAAAAATTCCTAAACATTAAGAACATCTCGCTGTGTTAGTTGCACAGTAGTACGCATGTAATCAAAAAGATGACACATGATGCTGAAAAGAGGACTATTCTATTGAAATAATCTCTAATAAAAAAAAAATAGATAACAGTAAAGAAGGAGACCATGACTAAAAAAATTGCTGTTCACTTGCTTTGTTCAAGTGTTATCAAATACCACAAAGCAACCGGGTCCTCTAAACAGTTAACGTTTGCAAACTTTTTTCTTATCACTCTTGACAGACATTACTTCTAAAAGTAATGGCTTAATTATTTTAGGTCTGCCTCAGCAACATCCACTGTCTGCGTGAAACGATTTGACAGTCCTGAGCCATTCAAGCTGTCAAAGATTGTGTTGAAAAGACATTAAGATTAAATTAAGGAGGTGCACTCTTTTATTATCACCAGGACGGTAGACTAATTTGTCACTTCAATGATCTCAGATTTTCCTCTGCCAAGTGAATAAATGGTAAAATCAGGCTACCAAAAATAGACCTATGTGAGGATTTTATTGGCAGCTTAAATGAAAAGAAACAGAAAGAAGGTTTGTGTATTGATACAAGTCAGCAAAAAAAGACATTGATTCACTTGAAGAGGAGGACATATTACTAGTAGGTAAAGGAATATCTGTAAACAATGTAATGAAATGTGAAGGAGGCATGAAATTGGGGCTTCCATATAAAAAGTCACCTCTTGTGAAACAGAAAATTAGATTTGTTGCTCATTGCTCAGAAAGATTAAGAAATGACACACAGTTGATGTTATTACTCATAAAAATAAGAAAACTGAGGTAAGACATAATGGGAGCATGCTATATCCTAAAGGTATATACGTTTATTATTCCCTTAACAATAAATAAATTTAAGTTTGTGTGAAATGACTCATCATATTGCCCTACTTTATCTATTTTTAACCTGTGCAGTTTTAGTAGTTTTTTACAGACCAGCTATCATTCCGTATCTATATTGAAGATATCTCAAACACACTTTGACACCAAATAGTATTTTTCATGTTACTAAAAGTGTACTGTAAGAAAAGTTGGATAAATCTGCGTCTTTCTAAGGGTGCATTCACAATCATGCTTCAGTCCAGGAACTGGCCCAGAGATTGATTGGCAAAAGGGAGAAAACTCACTTCTTCTGTTGGCTTTCACAAAAAGTGAGTTTTGAGTTTGCTGCTGCTACTGTGGCGTTCACATGCAGGGGTGGAGCTAGAAGGGGGGACAGGGCTGGCCATGGCCACCCCTTGCCAATCATTGGCTACCCTTATGTACACCCCGACCTGGTGATTTGTTGTTCCCATAGCAGGAGACTTTACCACCATGGGGAAAAAGAAGTTCCACTTTAAAACAGAGGATGGTAGCGGTGATACTCTCCACTAGTTAGATTTTCAGTTGTTAGCATATTAACCATAACCTGACAACACAATTACGTTATATTAAATCAATTAATTCAATAATTTTTTGCACATCAATATTCTAACTAATCTAACTGAACTTGACAAGCACATAATTCCTGTTTTTTTCAGGTCTATTTTTTGTGTTTTACAGGGGGAAAAGGGAAAGCTATGTACCTCTGCAGTCATTTAGGAGTCTTCAATGAAATTAAAGAAAAACTGCTTACAGTTACTCCCTATTACAAAAACTCAGTCATTCAATATTTATATCATGCTAAACCATAACTGATTTAAACAACATAGATGCATAATGCATAAATGTGTGTAGATTTGCATAAATGTGTGTAGATTTATTAACGAGGGAGTCATGGAGATGTAGTCTGTCTTTACAGATTTATTTGGAATATATGTACGTTTCGTACATATATTATGGAATACATGTATGAAACGTACATATATTCCATATATACATGTATATATATATGTGTTCTCATTCATTTTCCAGTCGGTATAGTATGATTATTCTAGAGTCTAGACTGAGCCTAATTGGGTTGTCAGCCACCCACCAGTGGCTGACAGCAGTACAACCTATTTTCTGTTTAAACACCTAAAAAATTCCCAGAGGCATTCCTAGACTGACCCCCAGTTGGTCAACAAATTATTGAATAAGAAAAAAATTTAAGATTAATACATTAAAGAGGTAAGATGTCTTTATCTATGGCAACATATGGTGGGAGCAGGGAAATGAAAACGCCTTTAGTGTTAATTAAATTAGATCAGGGATCACAATCATTTTCATTTCATAATAATCAATAGGATAATAGTGGTTTGAACTACAATGAAAATAAAAAGAATGGAAAATCTTTTTTTTGAGTATACCAGAAATTGTGACAATATTCTGATGACTTATCAAAGCAGGTTATGAAAATAATTACACCAAGAAAAAATAAGCTACAGAAAAGGCATTGTTCTTAAATACATGGGAATAAAATGGTGCTTTAATATTAATTAAAAGGTAGTAATTATGGTGATAAATTGTATATCCTGGGTATTAAGAACAGAAAGAATAATGGAGAATCATGCAGAAAATTGTAGCTTGTACTAATTTTGATTTAGGCTGAGATTAGCTTTTATGTTGCCATGTTTGCCATTGTGTAGCTTCTCTTTAGCAATATCTGTGTGAAAACGCAGAGGAGAGGAACTGCTGTAACACTGAAAGCAAGCCAATTTCCAATTCTCTCTGGAGATAAGATTTCAGCTGTTTTGTCATTCCATGGATTTTATAATAAAAGGTTGAGAGGAGCTTCAGCTCCCTGATTTTAATCTTTAAGCTCCTATGAGCTAAGAGGAAAGTGGCCACCTTGGGGAACCCAGCTTGCATAATTTCCTTTTTATTTGTGCAGAAGATTTTTAATCCGCATTATGCACTGTACAGAAAACGTGGAAATGCACATGAATTCATGTAGTGATTTTCATTATACATAAGCATTCGATTATTCACAGCCTAAGGTTTGAAATAATATTCAGGATTTCCCTACACATTTCTTTCGACTAAGTATTTATTATCTGTTGGGAATGTCCTGCAGCCATCCCTACAGCACACTATGTTGTTAAGTCAGTGGCAATACATTTTCCACAGTGGGTGGACGTTGCTTTGAAAGCAAAGCAAAGCTTCAGGATGATGACAGTTAAAGATGGCCTTGCACACAAACTTAAAAATGGACAAAAAGTAATCTTCTTCCTGCTACATTAGGAACCTTTTGCAAAAAACAAAATTTAA